TTTCGTGGATTTCATGAATGAGTTGAAATTAGACATTAACACCGTTGGATGCTGGCCGGCTCACTGCTCTAGTGGTTAAGCGCTCGCGCTCGAGACTGATAGATCCTGGGTTCGAATCTCGCAAGGAGGGATCGTGGATGCGCACTGCTGAGGAGCCCCACCATAGGGCGAAGCGGCCGTTCAGTGCTTCCAGGTTTCCCATGGTAGTCTGGCTTCAATTGACTCATGAACTCAACAATAGAAATAAATTTACTATTAAATATTAATTTTCTGAAATGAAAAGTTTCAACTTTCTAGTCTATTGCTATAGTATACACAAATAATTGATCGCTGAAAAGCAACCGATGTAATGGCTTCGCAGTCTTAAGTGTTATTCAAAATCAATCAATGAAGATACAACTTGGATACTAGTCATAGTGACCTGACATCAGGTTCACCATAGTAATTTGTTAGATGGTTGTGGGAAACCAGTAGCAAACTTTGGACCAGTTGAAAACAATAGTCCAGTCAATGATTCTCGATAAAGTTGATTGTAATCCTGTAGGTATCATTAATTCACCCAAGATTATGGCTACACCCTAATGACAAATGACAACTAGCACGAAACCTAGTTCCAAAGTTTTCTGTCTACTACTTCTGTGATGTATGCTGAGAGTTCATTAACTACACTACCAACAGTCCAATAGCTATAGCGTATGTTGTTCCTGAATTGTAAACATTTGAGACAACTGAGTTTATTTAACTGGATAAGTTTAATAGCACGATTCAAATATAGATTATAATAGATTGTTTTGAATTTACTAGTATTAATATAAAAATGTGCTTACTACTGAATAAACATAGAGTATCTTCGAAAGATTTAACTAGATAAGCTAAAAAAGGTATGATATACATTGTTTTCGAAACACCCATTTACTGGAACACAAATTATCATTACCACACTTTATTTTTCAAGTTAAGCCAAGAGTAACTGTAGGCTCCTTCCAAGCATAAATATAATGTTCCAACTTTCCACTTAAAAGTGTCTTCATTGTTTGCCGAATTTATTGTAAAGAAGTCATATCCTAAAACACAAAGTAGTTTCTTTGGTTTAATTTCTCACCATATACTGAATACAGCGGGGTGGGACATGAAATGAATAAACGATACGAATATATCATTTTAAGATTTGTATAAGCCATAGAAACCATAAAAATACAACAAAACCATTTAAATTTGAAGTGCTTCGAATTATCTCGTTGTTGACATATGGGGATCCTGTCGGATTTGCCTCAATATTAGCTGAAATAACACAAGGTAGTGCAGGATAGATGGAGTAAAATTAAGAGTGGAATTTGGGACATATTTTTAATCCAGCTGGCATGTCCCAAACAATCCTGTATTTCACTGCTAATCACATTTTTTTTCTATAACAATCATTTGTATTCAAAACGAGTTAGTGGATAAACTTCAATGGCAATGCTAATTATACTTTTAAAAACGTGTAGCGGTAAATAAATCCCCAAAATCAATAGTTCTGTAATTTCTCTACATTTGATGATGACGACATTAGTTTTAATGGATTCACCTAGCTGAAGGCGCTCAGTCACACATCCGCATCAGATCAGGAGTGAATACGCCTTGCTCAACTTCTACAACTGTTAACCAGTTTAGATCAATCACTTCTCGATATATTAATAACCTATCACATATATCTTCCAACCTCTGCACTTCTGACTTTTGATCTCACTAGGTGGACATGATTCAATTGCAGGTGTTATTAGTTAAAGTGTTATCAAACTACATATCCCTACGGCGACTTCAACAGTTCATTTCTTAATTAATACATATATATTAATACTCCAAACGAACTAGAATTACTCTCTTAAATGTATCTGCGAGAAAACAAAGTCAACAAAGTATCTAATCTTAATTTTTAAACAGTTTTATTTTCGTTTTGTCTAATATTTGTGAATAGGAATGAACTTTATGGAAACAAAACAGAACAATATGATATCCATAAATTCTGCTACTATTTATAACTGTAATCATAGTGATATAATGACCGATATAAGTTGATCGATTATTTTTTTCATGTTCTCAGTTCATATCTTATCGGATTACATGGACTATATCAAATATATAAATGGTTTTATTCTTTATACTTTTATACTCTGATCAAATCAATAGTTTGTTTAAAAACTTGTAGACAGATTATTTTTTAAATAGTTGAATTCATGAGTTAATTAAAACTAGATCACCATGAGAACCTGAAAGCACTGGACGACCGTTTCGTCCTAGTATTGGGACTCCTGAACAGCGCACATCCACAAACCCACCCGCAGGATACGAACCCAGAACTTATCGGTCTCGCGCACGAACGCTTAATCTCTAGACCGCTGAACTGGCGTGTAAATGTCTAACCTTAACCAATCCATGAAACTGAGCAACCCTCCACAAATGTCTTCAGTGCATTATTACCTCACAACAGACCTGGTTGAACTATACTGGTAAAGGCTTCTCACTAGAACTCCGGGAAATACCTCTTGAAGCCAGTCACTAGTGAGCATAAGAAGATTATTATGAGAAGGAGGTTTTGTCGAGATTTTAGTAATTTAATAGTTGAATTCATGAGTCAATTGGAGCTAGATCATCATAGAAAACCTGGAAGCACTGGACGACCATTTCGTCCTAGTATTGAGACTACTTAACAGTCCACATCCACGATCCTGCCTATGTGCTTCGAACCCAGGAATTATCGGTCTTGTATAACTTCAACTAATCCACAAAATTGAGCGACACATCCACCATTGTTTTCAGTGAGTTACTATCTCACAAAAAACCTAGTCGAACTCCACTGGTCACAGCTTCTCACTAGATAATAATTGGTTTTCAAAGTATTCACCTTAGTTAAAGACTAAAAAATCACTTGGTATTTTAACAGTTAGAGTTAATAATATACATTTAATAGTACAGTCTAATTCAATATTTTACGTACAGACAGTTCTTATAAGAAAAATTACATATTCATAACGAAATGTAATAATTAGTACAACTATAAAGTAGAAGCTACTTTTCTAAGAATAAAGGTAAAATTGGAGTATCAATCAATGAAAATTTATGGTTTCCTTGATGACAATCAAATCAGGTAGAGAAAGAAACATACAATCTGAGGTACTGGTGGTAAGTACTTATATATACTTACACCTATTACCCTTCATGGAGGAGCAAAGGTCGCCCATTAGAATTCACTATCGAATTCTGTCCCTGTTATATATACATATATATGATTCAGAAACTTCTGTTTAACATTATTATACTAAAACGTTACGTACTCTTAAAGTCTTTCATATTACTAATTATTTGATTAGCTTATTACTCTACGTAATTATGTAATACTGTTAAGTTTATTGAAGCGACAAGTGACCACTTCCTTAATTTTTTTAAGAAAAAAGTATTAGTCATGAGTTCATATTCAATTAGGAATGAAGAAAGATAAGAAGTAACAAGTGATTTTCTTATCATAAACTGAAGCATTTGTAAGACAATCAGTGTATATTATGGATAATCCTATGATAAAATGAAATAACGATTATATGCTTTCTGTTTTCTGAAATGCTACAACCATCATCAAGAAGGTACAAGTATTTATAAATAGTTGTCAACGCAAGATACTCAACATCTATTGACCAGGTACCATCAGCAACAGTCTACTGTGGGAGAGAACAAACCAGCTTCTAGCTGAGGAGTTAATTAGAAAAAGACGATGGAAATAGATAGGACATATATTACGGAAATCATCAAACTGTATCACAAGACAAGCCCTAACTTATAATCCTGAAGGGAAGCTTGAAAAGTGGAAGGCCGAAAAATACATTACATCGCGAAATAGAAGCAGATATGAAAAGGATGAATAACAACTGGAAAGAGCTGGAAACAATTTCCCAGAATAGGGTTGAATGGAGAGTGCTGATGGGCGTCCTATGCTCCTTGATGAGGAGTAACAAGAGTGAGTAAGTAGGTTTTCTAAAAAATTTTATTTTGACTAAATTCACTCAGCATTATATGATATTTGTGTTATATTCATATATTCTAAATATTCATATCTTAGAGAGAAAAAAATGATAGTTTTTTATTGGTGGGTTGCTTGAATATCTGGGCTATCCGTCCCTGACATCTAGATATTTCAACAAGTTATCTGTCTTACATTTGTTTCAATAGATCATTATATGAATTAGTCGCATAACGTATTCAGAAGTGTTTCTGAAAAATCTACAACCTTTCGTTGTATAAGTTACAAAAGTGCCTAATCAGAGACATTGTGCTTGCTGGTAATATGCAACGAAAAGAATGTATGTTATTTAGATGTCAGTTAACTGATCTGGTAACTTCTAACTAGCGACCATTCAATATTTATCGTCAAGATCAATCAGAAAGTAAGAAACGGAAACTTGTTGAAATACTTTGTGCTGAGAAATTTAAATAAAGTAATCAATAATAATAATAACTCGAAATTCAATTTTTATAAATTTAATAGTTGAATTCATGAGTCAATTAAAGTTTGACTACCATAGAAAACCTAGTAGTATTAAACAACTGTTTCATCCTAATATTAGACACTTCAGTAGTATGCATTATTTCTTAAGTAATAAATATATAAGAAGAGATTTTGTAGAGATTGTAGTAATCTCAGTAGTTGAGATCATGAATCAATTGAAGCTAGACCACCAATAAAAGCCTGGAAGCATCGGAATGTTATGTCATCCTATTGTTAGACAAATCTACGATCTCGCCTCACAAGATTCAAACCCAGGACCTATCGGTCTCACCCTTGAATAATGAACTTCTAGTGCGAGACCGATAAGTCCTCGGTTCGAATCAGGAGAGGTTGGGTCATGGGTTCGCACTGCTGAGAAGTCTGACACTATAACCTAACAGCCGTCCACTGCTTCCAGGTATTCCATGGTAGTCTAGTTTTAATTCACTCATGATCTTAACTACTGTAATAAAATATAACTTACCATCAGTATCATAATGATTCCATACTTCAACAAATTGTGCAGCAGTAAAATATTTTAATGAATTTGAATTAATATCTTTAAATTGTGCAAGAAAATTATCGGATTTCGATGATGTATTCATTTGAATGATTAAAATAATTATTGTAAATAATAATAATAATAATGGACTTTAATTATAAATAAACAAATTATTTATTTATTGATAGATGATACTACTCGTTTTGTATAAATATAAGTAGACTAATACACTTTGATTAACTTTTAGTTAATGGTTATTCTAATATGTGTAATGTGTATTACACTTCAATTAATGTTGAGGTTGATGTTGATGTTGATGAGGATGTTGATGATGGTGATGGTGATGTTGACAGTGATGATGTTGATGATGATGATGATAAGTGTATATTGAATAGATTGTTTTTATTATCATTATTATCAATATAAAATATTTAAATTGTTAATAGTTAAGATTTATGTACAGTCTGATTCAATCTCTTTTTAATAGGCTATTGAAAAATATTAAAAAAGGTATTATTTATTTGAGATAATTTTTTGATTGGTTAATAAAATATTTATCTTATTCAAGGAATAAATAAGATTGACTAGACAAATTTATTCTTTTCATTTTGATATCTATTAATTCATATAGTTGAGATCATGAGTTATTTTGAAGCTAGATAACTATAGGAAACGTAGAAGAAATGGATGACCGTTTCGTCTTTGTGTGGGACTCTTCAGTAGTGCGCATCCACGATCAAGTCGTACGAAATTCGAACTGAAGGTGTGAAAGCCTTACCTCTAAACCATTGAGCCGGCATCTAACGGTGCTACTGTGCAACTTCAACTAATCTACGAAATTGAGCGACACATCAACAGTTTTCATCCGTAAGTAGTTATCTCACAACAGACCCGGTTGAACTACACTGGTCACTGCTTCTCATTAAAACTCCAAGAAATACCTCTTGAAGTCAGTCACTAGTGTGCATATGTTGATTCATATCAGAAGGGGTTTTTGTGAATATTATAATAATTTTAACAGTTGAGATCATGAGTCGATTTAACGCTAGACCACTGTGGAAGATTTGAAAGCAATGGACGGTCGTTTTAACTTAATATACGACTCCTCAGCAGTGCATATCCACGATCACACCTCACGAAATTCGAAACCAGAACTTATCAGTCTCGCGCGTGAACGCTTAATATCTAGACCACTAAATTGGCCAGCATCCAACGGTGTTCATTTCTAACTTCAACTAATCCACGAAATCGGGCGACACATCCACCAACGTTTCCAGGTTTTACATGGTGGTTTAGCTTCAATTGACTCATGGTCTCAAAGTTGATATTTTTCCTGAAGAAAATTGTTTTAGGAAAACAACTTTAAATTGAATATATTCATAAAATCAATTACGTGAGCTGCTGAGGAGTCTCATACTAGGTTGACTAGTGATTCTAGGTTTTCAATGATCTCAATCAAAATCTTAGCAATCTCCACAACCCTATACTGATAATTAGTATATGTTCACTAATGACTAGCTTCGTGAATGCATCCTTGTAGTTCTAGTGAGAAGCCATGATCAGTCGAGGTAATCCGTGTCGGATGTGATGTAGTTATCTACTTCAGACAATGGAAGCTGGTCACTCAACTTCGGGGATTGGTTGAAGTCATATATTATTACTGTTGGATCCCGGCTCAGTGGTTTAGGGGTTAAACATTGGCGCAAGATTGAAGGTTTTAGGTTGTAGTCCTGCGTGCGAGATCGGCATATGAACTGCTGAGGAGTCCCATACTAGAATTCCAGTTTTTCAATGGTTGTCTAACATGGATTGGTTTATAATCTCAATTAGATTTCATTAATTAAAATAACTCATTGTGTCATTAAATAAAAAAAGAGTTCGGCGAAGAAAATTTTCTTTTCGACGAGATTATTTACTTAAGCTGTAGATTCGTATTTATCATTATACGGAAAATATATGTCTATAGAAGGATAGAAAAGATTGCATCATAAATTGATTCGAGACGCTTATTATCAAATGAGGTTACACATTTAACCTAGTCACTAAATTATTTCAGACTAATGGTCGATTGGCATTTTTTTCTAAGAAAGCAAATTAGCTTACATGGCTATTTAATACAGTACACTTTAGTTTGTAAACGTTCAGACTAACGAAATACATACAGGTCTCATAATATTGCCCAATTTCTAACAGTTTATAAACTTCAATGAATAACTGTTATTCATCAATGTTTCACTTATGAGCTTTATGTTTCCCTCAATAGTATCACCAGTGTGAATCCACGACTCCGCATGAAAGACTAGAACCAAGAACCTTTGGTTTCTCGGGCGAACTCAACCTGTGGATCACTGAACCAGTATCGAACGATGTTTATGTCTAGCTCCAATCGATCCATAACTGGCTCGTGAATTCAACTGTTAAAATACAACTATCACCAAAAATCCCCATACTGATAAGATTTATTACATTGTGGAATCATAACAGTGAATTCTTTCACATTAATCATTAATTGAATCTTGATTCTTCAGCCAATAGGTGCTTAAAATTTACATAGTCAAAATGACTCAATCAGATCACTATAGAATAAAAAAATCCTAATTATTTAAACTTATATATTTTAAATCAAATTTAAGAAAAGACTTTTGAAAAGCTAAAAGCACTGGACAGCAGTTTTGCCTTAGTATGGGACTCCTCAGCGCACATCCATGATCCAGCACAAGGAACTCGAACCCAGGAACTCCAGCCTCGTGAGCAAATGTTTAACTCCTTTAGAATACTGAGTCGGTATATTTTACATCACAGCTTTTCAGTTCAATCAGTCATTCTGTCATAGATTATGTCTACTTTGTATGATCATTTACGTTTTATTGTAATAAACATTCTATTCTTAAATAATATTTAACACTAATCTGATGAACCGCAACATTGTTGAACAAGATTTGCAGAATACAATGAATTCATTCTATTTCAAACGTGATCATCATGTATGATGTTTAGCACACTTATTAAGAAGGCATTAAGTTATTCGGTCGATAATATTAGGAATTGGAATTCGGTCAGTTGCTTGGTGAACAATATATTGGGCGTTTGTAGAAAAAAGTTACTGGATGAGTCCCGGTGTAAATATCAATGCCGTGAGGGAGGTATGTTCAGCTGGTATAATCTAGATAGGACAAGATCTGTATTCTGGATTGTTCTGTTAGTCACAATACTCATGTTCTCATAAGCAGTTATTGATCGTTTGTGTACATTACTCATAAATCTAGCTTGAAATTGTATGCGTTTGTTTTAATGTTATTCATAACTTTAAAACTATCGATGGATGTTGCTAATTCAGAGTATGTGTTTTAATGAAAAGTAATTTCTTTTTATCTAACTGAATCCACCAGATTTCGCCTATGAATTCTTAATTGATAAGAGAATTAACAAAATAAACTCCATCAACTTTGTAACAAGCTAGACTACTCTACCGGTTACCATAGCAATATAGATCTGAACATATTTGTTGGAATGTTAACAATGAAAATAGTAATTCATAAGAATCTTTTATTGAATTCTGTAGAAACATGAACATATATAACGCTCTTATGTGGCTTATTTTGTTTATGCATATAATTGGTTAAAGCTAGATCACTATAGAAAATCTGGAAGTAATAGATGGCCGTTTCGTTCGAGTATGGGATTCCTCAACAGTAATCATTCACGACCCCGCCTCGTGAGATTTCAACCCAAAACGTATCAGATACACGCGCGAACACAACCTCTACACCACTGAGCCAGCATCTAACTTTAACCAATCCACAAAGTTATACCATTGTCCACCATTGTCATCAGCGAGTTAGTGTCTCACAATAGACCTGGTTGAAATCCACTGGTTACAAGTCACGAATTCAACTATTTAATTTATTATAATATCTGCAAACATTCTCTTCACTTATTTATATGTTAAATAATGTTCTCTTGTTGTTTTGTTTCTTTTTTCGTAATATACAAATGACCTTGATATCATGATAACACAGTTTAATAATAAGCATTGAATACTTAACATGCCTTGAACTTCTCTAATATAAAGTTTTAGTTAATCTAATTAAATGAAACTTCCGGAAATCTAATTATTGGCATCATTTCCACAGGGTAGATTATAATAGAAGAAATGATGATCATTAATTTACAGTTTTAATTAAATTTTATAACAGTTTTGATTATTTAGCCAATTTTTTAAAGTAATAAATGTATTACATATATAATTTAATTGGTTAATAAGTTAATGAAATCGATTGGGTCATTATTGATTATAGGTGAAAACTATAAAATGAGAACGAGAAACCAAATAAAGGTAAGAACAATAAGATATTCTTGATTAAGATCATGAACCGATTAATGTTAGAACACCGTTGAGAACCTGAATGAACTGGACGTCCGTTTCGTCCAAATGTTGTGACAAGTGGAGCTAGTCCTTGTCGGGTAGAGACAGGTATCTACTTCAGTACAATGAATGATTGTCGCGAAATTTCATGGATTGGTCGAGTTGAGACATTTACACCATTGGATACCGGCTCAGTGGTGCAGTAGGTTAAGCGTTCGCGCGTGAGACTGAAGGCCCTGGGTCCGAATCCCGTGAGCGGGATCGTGGATGCGCAGTGTTGAGGAGTTATACAATAGAGTGAAACGGCCATCCAGTGCTTCCATGCTTTTGATGGTGGTCTAACATCAACCAGTTCATGATCTCAATCAAAAGCATGATAATCTCCACAACACCTATACTGATAATAACAAATTCAACTTGGTAATTAGATCAGATTGAGTTAAATAAGTTTTAAAATAACAATACATAAAGCCCATTTGTATTTCTTTTTTTAATTTTCCCATTGGTATTTAGGACTACAATTAATCATTGGTCTAGAGGTTAAGCGATCGCGGGCAAAAATGATAGGTCCTGGGTTCAAAACTCGTGAGTCCAGATCGTGGATGCGCACTGCTGAGGAGTCCCACACTAGGACGAAACAGCCGTTTAGTGCTTCCACGTTTTCAATATTAGTCTAACATTCATTCATTTATGATATCAATTTAAACTTCATATTATCATAACTATGGTTACACTAC